TGTGTGTGTGTGTGTGTGTGTGTGTGTGTGTGTGTGTGTGTGTGTGTGTGTGTGTGTGTGTGTGTGAGTGAGTGAGTGTGTGTGAATGTTTTTAAATAAATTAAATAATATTTTAATAATTCTGAAATAGATCAAATCTAACAAAATGTTCCATAAAATTTAAAAAACAATTTAAATAAAGTAAATAGTATTTTTGTATAATTCTGAAATAGATAAAATCAAACAAAACTTTCCTTTAAAAAGAGAAAAAAAGTTTTTTTATGAAGTACATAATATATATAAAATTTGTAATTGTGAAATAGATCAAATCTGACAAAACTATCCTTAATTTTTTTTTTTTTTTTAAATAAAGTAAATACTTTTTGTAATTGTGAAATAGGTACAATCTGACAAAACGTTCCTTTATTTAAATAAAGTAAATATTTTTTTTTGTAATTGTGAAATAGCTTAAATCAAACAAAACTTTCAAATTAAGTAAAATTGTTTTTTAAAATAAAGTAAAAAAAAAAAAATGTTGTAATTGGGAAATAATTCAAATCGAACAAACCTTTCAAATAAAGTAAAAATGTTTTTTTTTATAAATCTGAAAAAGCAACAAGTGTTCCTCACTGATTGAAAGGCGCATAAAATGGCTAAATCAGGGGTTATATTATATCTACTGATGTCAGCAGGTTTGTGTGAGCTGATAGTGCTAACAAATGAAATATAAAAGCTCACTAATGTGGCTTCAAGATACTTTGTGTTGCTAATCAGTTTAGTTATATTTTGGGCAGACAATTGCCTCTAGAAGTGAACTAAATCAGGCAACACATTTGGTGATGGCCTCGATTGTAAAACTGATTTGTAATCATGTTTCTGTAATTCTAAAGATGCAAAAAGTTCTATTTTACAGTTAGTCCGAAATAAAAAAAAATAGATGTAGACGTAAGGTTTGTCGTCATTTATATGGCTATATGTCCACGAAAGCACACACAAGCAGGTCATTTATTGCATTTGTTCTTGTTTTGAAAGATCAATTAATCATCCTAATTAATCATTGATTTATTGATTGCATGCATGATGATTAATTGGCTTGATCAGTAAGTGGTGTTGTATTGGTTATTGATTGTTTGACTGATGCGGTGATGATGCACTTTACAACATCAGCTGGTTACCATGGAGAACAACTAACTAATCACAACCCCCTCCCCAGAAATGATGTGTGTGTGAAAGAGTCAGTGCATTGCGTGTCGTGTTGCTTTCAGATGCTGTATTGTGATAGTTGATAGATGAACAGCACACCTGGTGTGGTGCATATTTAAAAAGCGTTGTGTCTTTTGAAATGGAAATGATCAGGCCTCCCTTTGAGAAATTGGGTGAATTGATTGATTGTTTTCCATCCTCGTCACTTATGGCCCTTTAAATTGTTCTCTGTATCTAGGCAGATTCTAATTCAGGCTCGAATGCAGGTATTAAATGTACGCAAATTGGCTCCGTGCCGCATGAAGCACAGGAAAGTGTTCAGTAAAACATCTTTTCTGTGTCCCGTCCAGAACCGCCACCGTCTGGAGAAACCTAAATCCGTTCTGGGGCGAGGAATACACCCTTCATCTGCCGATGGGCTTCCATACGCTCACCTTTTACGTCATGGATGAAGACACGATTGGGTAACAAGCGTGATTCGTGATAAACGCGTTTGAGAAGCATCTCAGTCCAGACGAGATGAATGCATGAGTAAACCAACAGCAGTGGAACACATTTAGCTTCTAAAAACGTTGTGGGAACGTTGTTTTCAAATAAATGTTTCATTACAACGTTCTACTATCTTTATTGTTTTCTAGTCACGATTAGAACGTTATTTAAAGGTTACAAAAACATATCTACTAACTTTATTTTCACCCAAAAAATTACGTTATTTGAGCATTTATTTTTAATAGTCTTAAGAACGCTAAAATGTCCAGTTTTCTTGTCGCAATTATAACATTATTTAAAGGTTACAAAAACGTTTCTTAAACGTGTTACTCATTTAATTTTTACCTCGAAATATAACATTATTTCAGTGTTTATTTTTAATATTCTAAGAACGCTAAACTTTCCAGTTTTCACCCAAAATATAACGTTATTTGAACATTTATTTTCAATATTTTAAAACGTTGAAATGTCCAGTTTTCTTGTTGTGATTATAACGATATTTAAAAGTTAAAACATTTCTTAAACGTTCTACTAACTTTATTTTCACCCAAAATATTACATTATTTGAATGCTTATTTTTAATATTCTAAGAGCATCAGAATATATTTTCTTGGTGTGATTAGAACGATAGTTAAAGATTATAAACACTTTACAACTTTCGGCTACACTTTAGTTTAAGGTGTCCTTGTTACAGTGTAATTATACATTTATTAAAAAACTACATGTACTTACTATAGGGTAAGGATTTGGGTTACTTGCATGTAATTATGCATAATTAATTGTTATTATAATAGTAAGTACATGTAACATGTGTAACAAGGACACTTTAAAATAAAGTTTTGCCAAACTTTCTTACAACATTGTACTAACTTTATTTGCACCCAAAATGTAACATTTATTTTTAGTATTCTAAGCATGGTAAAATGTCCAGTTTTTATGTAACATTATTTAAAGGTTGCAAAAATGTTTCTTAAACGTTCCACTAATTAATTTCATTTTCACCCACAATATGACGTTACTTGAGCATTTATTTGTAATATTCTAATAAGGTTAAAATTTCTAGGTTTCTTGTTGTGATTATAGCGTTATTTAAAGATTGCTAAAATGTTTCTTAAACGTTCTATAAATTTTATTTTAACCCAAAATGTAACATTTTTTGAATGTTTACTTTTAATATTCTATGAACATGACTAGAAGGTTATTTAAAGGTTACAAAACTGTTGTTTAGAACGTTCATCGAGTACAAACAGCATCACAGCATTTTGAGTAAAATGGTTTCTGAGTACGTATATCAAATCTGAATATGGTTATAAGAATGTTTTGTTAGTGCTGGTTCCCGTTAGCCGCTAGTCTTCTGCTGGTGTTTGTGTTGTGGCTATAAATTTTATTTTAACCCAAAATGTAACATTTTTTGAATGTTTACTTTTAATATTCTATGAACATGACTAGAAGGTTATTTAAAGGTTACAAAACTGTTGTTTAGAACGTTCATCGAGTACAAACAGCATCATAAGGACATTTTGAGTAAAATGGTTTTCTGAGTACGTATATCAAATCTGAATATGGTTATAAGAATGTTTTGTTAGTGCTGGTTCCCGTTAGCCGCTAGTCTTCTGCTGGTGTTTGTGTTGTGCAGACTCGCGTCATGTGATGAACTCATGCGGTGTTTGTAAATGAAGACATTCACATTCACGCAGCAGAACATTTGCTCACACAAACACGCAGATGGTGTGATGACCACGTCTTTGATTCGATATCTGTTTATCTGTGTTTCATAATGTCTGTAATTGTAGAGTTGATGATGATCATGCTGGTGGTTTAATATGAAAATCTTCTGAACATTAACAAGCATCTCGTATCATTTCTCATGCTGCAGTCATGATGATGTGATTGGTAAAATCTCCCTGAGTAAAGATGTGATCGCTGCTCAACACAAAGGTAAGCGTGTGATTATTAAAGATGAAGATGAATGCAGAAATTCAAGTCTGAACATCACTTTGGTTATTTCTGACCGCAGAGCTGACCTTTACGGTGCTGTTTTGTGTTTGTTTTCTTGCACGTTTTTTATTACTAATTTTTTATATTGCAATTTTCTACAAAGAATAACAAGTGTGCAGAAAACAGTCCCATTCAGCACAAATTAATATTGTGCAGGATCATTTCCCTAATTAACAAAACCAAAACTCATTAGGCTGCGTACAATAACGCCTGGCAATAAAGAAAAATCAGAACAAAGTAATACTTAGACACAAGTAGATCATTTAAAAAAGAATAATAATATAAATAATAAAATATAAAATAATATTACATAATATAATATAACATATACTATACTATAGCATAAAATAATAAAAATATAACAATATTTTAAAAACATTTAACATATAAATATATATATATATATACATAAATTTATTTTATTTCAATTAATGTTTACTTCAAGTAACAATATTTTTTGTTACAGTTTTAGTTAACTATAATAACCCTGATCACCATGGCAACAGGAGCAGTCATCTCACTGTATGATTATAAGCCAAAAACATGGAATATGTTTAGTTAAAAGTACAGAAACTGAAATGACTTGGCACAATCTTTGTATTAAACCATAAAACAGTTACTATGAAAGTGAGCACAGTGATTAAAATCAGCCGGGGAGACGAGCAATGAGTATTTTCATCCCAAGTAATCCCCTCAGCTGAAAGGCAGGAGTTATTAGTTATTACAGGCACACGCGTGATGTGTTAGCGACCACGCCACCCCGCAGTGGGTTTCATGTTCTCCCAGCATGCACTTGCCCTGCATGAATCACTGCAGCCTGTCAGGACTGACTCACCCCTCACCCACGGGATCATGGGAAGCGTTTGGCTCTGAGAAACTCTCCGATGAGAGATGATTTACTGTAACTGCACTGCGTCCTCCTGCTCTACCTGCTCTGCTTTAAAATCATGATGGCTGGCCGTGTTCAGATTACTCTGCATGATTATGAGAATTTTATGTATGCATGTTTGCAAACACCAAATACTCATTTTGGGCATAATATACAGCCAGAGCACAAGGATACTGTATGCATGAGATACTGTATCCCACAATGCATTATGCACGACTTAACCTTCCATTTTCAGTCTGACAAATGAACTGCAAGTCAAATCATTTACATCACCTTTTTGACAAATTTTTTGATCGTGCTTCCAAAATCTCTGAAATGTGATACAATGTAAAACCTTTTTAGAGCCGCTGCATTTGGCATGCAATAAATCTCTTACTGTATTCTGAATAAACGTTTAAACAGTATTATGCTATATTAAACCTAAAACATTGCATGTTTGATTCAGCATGTGGCATCCAGTTATCATCTCAGAAATAATGAATATTAAAATGAGATTAAATGTTTTGTATTTTTAATACAATAAAATAAATGAGTCAAGGAGATGTTAAAATTTACACCAGGATTATTATAGTTAACAAAAAAATAAAACCATTAAAAAAATCTTTACTTGAAATAAAATTAGCTTTAACTGAAATAAAATATATGTCTAATTTTAATTTAGTTTGACTGGATGTGCTAAAATAAATAAAGCTGCAATAAAAATCACTAATAAAAAATATAAAAACTATATAAGCATTTTTTTTATTAAAATAAAATCGTAAAATTCTAAAATAACCTACTTTTTTTTTTTTTTACAAAACTATTAAAAAAAATAAAAATTATATTATCTAAATGATACTGAATAACACTGGCAGTTGATATGAAATGTTTGCATTGCATTGCAGGATCTGCAGTGCATTAGGGTTGCAAATGCAAACTATAAATATGTTTCCGTTTTAGAGTATAAATACTGTATACTGCAAAAAAGAAAATAGCATGAATAGTATGCATGCACCGCTGAAAAATAAAATCGTAAAATTCTAAAATAACCTTCTTTTTTTTTTTTTTACAAAACTATTAAAAAAAATAAAAATTATATTATCTAAATGATACTGAATAACACTGGCAGTTGATATGAAATGTTTGCATTGCATTGCAGGATCTGCAGTGCATTAGGGTTGCAAATGCAAACTATAAATATGTTTCCGTTTTAGAGTATAAATACTGTATACTGCAAAAAAGAAAATAGCATGAATAGTATGCATGCACCGCTGAACATATCCAATGCCTCTTTTGTAGTTCAAATCTGTTCAAATATGTGAAATTTCAGCCCTTTTATTATATGTGTCTTTCCTGCAGGTTTGGATAACTGGCTGAATCTGACACGTGTGGATCCGGATGAAGAGGTTCAGGGTGAGATTCATTTGGCTCTGGAGCTGCATAGAGACGCTCAGAGAACCAGCCTGCACTGTCACGTCATCGAGGCCCGGTGAGGACCAATCTAGCTTTCTAATAAACCTGCCATTGTATATTGCAAATATTATTTGCTCTGTGACAAACAGTTTTTACTCCTCTGTTGTAAGTCACTTTGAAGCATCTGTGAAATGCATATATATATATATACAGTGGGGCAAAAAAGTATTTAGTCAGCCACCAATTGTGCAAGTTCTCCCACTTAAAAAGATGAGAGAGGCCTGTAATTTTCATCATAGGCATACCTCAACTATGAGAGACAAAATGAGAAAAAAAAATCCAGAAAATCACATTGTAGGATTTTTAAAGTATTCATTGGTAAATTCCTCGGTAAAATAAGTATTTGGTCACCTACAAACAAGCAAGATTTCTGGCTCTCACAGACCTGTAACTTCTTCTTTAAGAGGCTCCTCTGTCCTCCACTCGTTACCTGTATTAATGGCATCTGTTTGAACTCGTTATCAGTATAAAAGACACCTGTCCACAACCTCAAACAGTCACACTCCAAACTCCACCATGGCCAAGACCAAAATTGTAGACCTCCACCAGGCTGGGAAGACTGAATCTGCAATACGTAAGCAGCTTGGTGTGAAGAAATCAACTGTGGGAGCAATTATTAGAAAATGGAAGACATACAACACCACTGATAATCTCCCTCGATCTGGGGCTCCACGCAAGATCTCACCCCGTGGGGTAAAAATGA